GGGTACTGTAGTCACACTTCATTATAACTAATGCCCTGTAAGTCGGCCCAATATTCGATTAAGAAAATTAGGCCAGTCTATGCTCGGCCCTTAAAAATATTCTAAAAATAAATTGAGATTGTTTTCTTTAAAATAAATACAATTTTAATTAAAATTCTCTGGGATTCGGATAAAGCAATTATTGATTTTTTAACCTGGTAAAATTATATTTTTCAATAAAAATTTTTGCCTCGAGCCAGGTTCGAGCTTATAATAAAAAAAATTTGGGTCGGTTCTGAAAAAATAAAAATTTAGGCCTAGCTCTTTAAAAAAATTTAAATATTTGGGCCGGGCCGAGCAAAAAATATAAAATGCAGGGCTATAGGTTCTGTAGAAATAAGTAATCCTTAGAAACATGTTGGGACTCTACATGCATCCCATAAGCTAATGAAAATATTACCTTATTGGAAAAATCTACCCTCCTACCCTTCCTCTCTTTAAAATAATACTCCCTACCCCCAATTTGCAAATATATAAGTTCATATCAAAATAGGCAATAAAAGGGGAATCCAAATCAACCAATCCCCCCAGCTCCCCCTGCATTTTATTCAAATGACTATGGCCTCTTCATAACTCCTACCCCCTTCAATTTAGATTTTGCATCATACTCCTACCCACATGGTAAAAAATCCTGGGATATGTACAATAGTAGTGAGGTAGCTATACAAAGTGCCGAAGTACCTCCTTTTTAAAATCCAGTCCTAATTTGATAAAATACATTAAGCTCTTTATTTTTTGAAAATTAGCAACCATTTCACTAAATTCATTACATACAATAAATTTTAACAGACAAAATTCATCAATCATGAAAAATTGTTATTCGATTTGAAATTGATAGCACAAATACTTTGATGTAAAAAATTAAATACGTCCTTTTGTAATAAATATACTTATTATTTATTAATAAGATTAGCAAGAAAAATTATTTGAGGGGGGATATCTTAATTTTTTCACCCCTCCTACGTTGAGTTTATTATTTTGGTATTGGAAAGGGAGTGAATATATTCAAAAAATATTTAGATTGATTCCGTTAGTAGAGGAGACCTGTGTATTTTGCATTTTTAGCATAAAGATTTTTAACAAATGCAAAACAAATTATAAATCATTGTGTAGCTCAAACCCTCATCTGTAAAATAAAAAAATGTGCCATTTTCGTCTTTCTACCCCAAAATGATTAAATAACTTAGCACCAGAGTAAATAGGTTAAAATAAAATTGAACATAACTATTATTTATTAAATAGAATACTAGTAATTTTGACATCGATTTATTGCTTTTAATTATAAACTAATGAATACAATATGTGTATGTAAAAAAATTAACAATATTAGCACATTTAGAATGTGCCAATTTTAGATTTTTAAAATTTTTATTCCATATAACATCCATATATTATTTACTAAGGTTCCTTTTTGCTCAGCAAATTCTTTTTATATGATGTTTTAGATGTTATTTTTTTACAACTTTAATCAGATGCAAATTTTAACCGTTATATTCATAGCTGCCTAACTCCAAGATGAGATTTATTATATAAATAGTTATTGCCAGAATTCTAGCTAAGCTATTAACTTCCAATAAATTTTATTTTATAGTTAAAAGTTTAAAGAATTTACTTGCAATATTTAAATAAGATAAATATAATTTCTTAAAAGTTAAAAATACTAGAAGGCATTATTGGTTTTTTGGCAAAATATATAAAACGGTAAAATCTGGTAAGTGATGAACATAGGCAAAAAATAATATATATATAAATACATCCTCACACTAAGTTTAAGGTCTTAATACTTGAGTACTAAAAAGTTATTCGTCTTAACATTGTTATCCAGTCAATCGCTTTACCTTGATCTCTTTACATATTTTATTCTATCTTTTAATTTATTTTTATATTATTAATTTTAAATGTAGCATAAAGATTATCTATGAAAAATTTACTACTATAAATATTGCTCTACATCGGTAAACATACCTTTACTTAAAATTGATTTATATTTGGAGTAAATAAAGAGAATTCATATTTAGGCCAAAGCTTGATATGGACTAGGTGGGATATTACATATGTCAGCGTTAATTTGTTTTTTCAGTCGGTGTGTTATTTTTTCAACTTTAACAGCATTTATAATAAGCGTGATCTGCTCAAACGATGAGAAATTATTCTGATGAAATTACAGCTGGATTCGTCAGAGTTATAATACTTTTTGAATACGTAAACAACTGTCACGATTTCATAATTCCGCTCCGTATTTATAAATTATACATATTACTGGCTTGCTTTTGTAAATTAAGCGAATAATTTCGTATCGCTTGAGAAAATCCTCCATACTTTAAATACAGCATAAGGTATAAATGTTTTAAAAAAACTCAATTTTGCCGATGTTAAAGAAGGATCAACATTTAGGTCAAAGTATTACCTAAGCCTCAACTTTTCACCAAAATATGGCAGATGGGTTCGGCACTATTTTGTCAGAATCTATATCCTAAGGGATGTAATTTTTTTCGGCTAAGCCTACTCTGTGATTTTTAGAAAATTTTGCCATAAACTTTGAACTCAATATAATTTATTACTAGTTTTTTCATAAATTTTTTTTTTAATTTCAAATGACATAAAAGTTAAGGGTAAAATTTTTTAAAATTTATAGAGGTATTCCAAATATACTGGAATATATTTCATGCAAAATCAGATTTTAAGATTCAAAAAACCTTTTGAAAAATTGATTTAAATTTGAAAAAACACATTCTTTGAATAAACACATTGACGCTAACATATATAATTTCATATGATAATTCATAACATAAATACACAATATTTTGAGAAATTTTGATTAATTTTTTTATATTATATATGCGTCAAAATTTTGATTTTAGTGTTATACTAAGACTTAATAATAATATATGCATTTTGAAAGATAGAAGAAAAAAAATTTGGACAAGAAAAAAAATATATTAACTTAATTTTTTTTTTAAATATAAAAAAAATAATCTGATTAATTGACTGAATAAATATGATTAATTTTATTGTCATAAAAATATATAAATAAATAAATCATAACAATACATTTTAATAAAATTTATATTATATTAATGTTTAATTTAATGTACTTAAATATAAATAATAAAGTGGTGAAAAAATGATTTATTATACTAAACCAACCATCTTCCTTATCTTTTATTAATTTAATATTACATATACGATTACATTTAATCCATAACTTGACTTCATTCGACAAATAAAATGTTTGATTTATTTATGACATTTGTATTAGAAATAGAAATAGTATATTTCTGACTTTTCCTTATAAAAATAAATAAGCGCATTTGAATCGCATAAGAAAATCCAATTTATACATATTTTGTCTCATGCATATTAAACGATTCTTAGAATGATAAATGATTGGGAATTATTTTAAAGTGTGTATTTGTGATCAAGAAAATACATAATATATGAATATTTCACATTTTTTGACTTTTATGTTGAATATTTCTTTTTAAAAAATTTTGAATATCCGATAAAAGTTTTATTAATAATTTATAGTATATCAATTCGTTTAAAATCAGGTACATTTTAGAACCATAGGTGTGCCTGTTCTTATATATTCTCATTTATAATACAGAAATATTTGGGTATTATATCTATGCTTTGATATTAATAATTTATTAAAATTTGAAACATTTTCATAAATTTGTTATTTGAAATATTTTCATAAATGATCAAAAAAAATAAAGGGATGTAAAAGAAGCTAAAGTTGTCTCAATGCATTCTAATTTTCTGCGTATGTTTTAAACTCGAAATTTTTCATTTGGCACTTCAAATAGTCTCATATGTTATCATTTAACCCGCCGACAATTAATCCCTACATATTCATTGAGCAAAAAAATTAATATTTAAATTTATAAATAATACGAATAAATATTTTGTTTCCATCCAGTGACTTATAAATTTTTTTTACCCCCTATAATTAATTGGTATTAGTTCAGTTAATTCAACCCTTTGAATTTAATTTAATTATAACTTTATTTCTATATAAACAAATGAATTATCTTATCTTTACATAGGGTCTAAAAAAATTTAAACTTTTTGTTTGCATATTGATATCCAAATTTATATGCCTACAATTGTAATTAAGAAATAATAAATTTAAAAATAATTTTGTTAAAAAAAATCGTTATATTTATATGAGATTACCCTTGATTTAACCCGCTTTGCTTTCGCGAAATGACAATAATTTAACTTTTGCATATATAGGAAAAAAACTAACTAATTTATCCTGAGCCAATTCTTCTTTTTTATAATCCCGTAGAGAGTATATTACAAAATAACTACTAATATAATTATTATGATTATTTTTTTGATTTGTTATGATATAATAACCAAAAATAACAAATATAACTTTTTTGACTTAAATTAGAAAACCAATATTTAAAAAAAAATTATATAAATATAAAGAATATATTTATATAATATCTTATATAGATTTTTAAACCCCGATTTAAAAAAATTTAAATTTCGTTTAAAAGTATATGAATAATAATAATGTATATATTTATTTTATAATTTAAGCAATGTCAGGAGCGATTCAAAATCAAATTTCTTAAAGAATAAAGATCAAAATCATTTATCTAGAAATAGTTACAGCTAATGATGACTATATGGACTTCGAACTATCAAAGTTACTGATATATAAAGCCAATAGGGTTTTAAATTTATTCTCCCACTCTAGTTATAATAATCAACTATTGATTATAGTTAACCTCGATGTAAAGGTCAATCGAAAAATCTTTCACATATTAAGAAACCCCTATGGTATTTTTACCTCAGAAACTTATTATTATCACTTAAAAAATATAACAAAAATATTTTCCCGATATCTTAAATTCTATGAAATACTATCATCATTTAAACATTCGCATATTTCACATCGGGTTTTTTGTCTTAGACTTATCGACTCTAAAACAGATTCAAGATTCATGGGCATAGTAATCGTGGACAAGGTATCTTTAAAATCGAACGCAACAGACATCCACTATATTCCCCTCATACCTTTGAGTTATAACACTGAAAATTATCATTTTAACACGCATACAAAAAACAACTATTCAAACAATATATCTGCTAATATTCAAACCCATCAAACTTCTATTGGACATCCCCATGGTATATTTTTTGACATACCGGACCCAACTTTAGATCTAATAGTGATAATTCCTTTAGGTATTCTCTTATTCACCTTTTGCATTTTGACGATATTCGGAAACTTTATGGTTATCTACGTTATCAAAAAAGATCGCAAACTTCAAACGGTATAATCTATAATTATATATTTATTTGCTTCTTCATAATTTTTCTCATGAATTTGTTTAAACATTATGTTCAATTTTTACAAATACATGTATAATTAAATATTAACATACATATACTCAAGAGCTATTCCTTCTTTTTTGATGATAGTGATCGGATTACCATGTTATAAATTTGATTGTTAAAAAAATCGATTTGAATAATCACTAAATAAGAAATCATTAGAGGGAGGTGGTGACCTTTTTTTGACTCCAAACATAAATTTAGATTATCATAAATTATATCGTATTTTGACAACTCCATTATTATAAATTCGTTTATTTTTCACTTGGCAATAAAATTTACTTTAACATAATATACATAAATACTAGATCAGCTACTTAATTTTTTTTTAAATAAAATTGAATTTAAAACTCATTAAATTTTAATTTTTGAGATCAATTATTATAAATATATATTATAGCTACGATCACATTTACGAGCAGGGGAATATATTTTTTAAGTCAACAAATCTTATCTTATTGATTTGATAGTCGAATTATGATGCTATGTATAATATAGGTATGAAATTAGTTGTGTTGTTAAGGAAGGGTTTGCTTTGCATACCCAAATTTAATTTCTCACGAGTAAAATATTTTATATTCTAGTACGAAGATCGAGGTAAGTTTTCACTTTTTCTTCAAACCACAATATTCAATTGAATTTTATAAAAACTATACATTTTTAAAAATTTCAAAAAAATATTTTTTTTGGTAAGCTTTTAACGCGTTATCATAATAAAAAAAAAGTTGATTTAGAATGTCTAAATATTAAAAGCTATTGGCATCATTACAAAACCTGAGATTAAAAATTAATCATATTAGAAATGTGCATAGTGCGTGACCCATCAGGATTCACTTTCACTATTTTCGTGATTTGCAATTTATCACCCACTCATTATAACTTTCTGAAATCATTCACGAACCTTATAGGTCACTCACGATGCTCCTCTCAAAACCATATCATTAAAACCATCTTTTTTTAAATTAGGGAAGAAACGATTAAAAAAAATTTATGCCAATATTTAAAAAAATATATGGAACTCTAATATATTTTTCTGTTTTAAAAAAAACTATTTGTCTGTACAATATGTAATATAAATTGGAATGTTTAAATTATACTTAATAAAAAAGAAAAACAAAATTTAAAAGTAATTTTTTATCAATCCATATCTAACTAATAAATATTGATTTTTTTGCTTTTATGTTAGAAAAAATGTTGCGAATTTTACATATATTTAATTTAAATTGCTTTTCCTTCTCCAGAAATGTATATATTTATTTTAATTTAAATTACATTTTAGTAAACTTGATCTTAGGTTTATAAATTTTACTTGATTTAATATACCCAGTGTTGCCAGTTATTAAAGTGAGAGTGATGCATGTATCTATTGTGGTCTGGAGTTCCGTCTCGGGCATATTCATTTAGGACTCGGTCCAGTTGGACATTGATTTTAATTTTTAACCCTCATAATGGATATGAGTATCTTAAATTATAAAATATTAAAAATGTTCTCATTATATAGGCTGTGATGGGCATAAGGAAAATATAACACTTCAAGAATGGGAGTAATTTTTTGGAAATTTATTTTTAAATATGAATGTTATTTATACAAATACAATAGAATCAAACCTGTCTAATTTGGGTTGGGATTAAGATTTTTGCCCAACTTAAAAAGTTGGCCAATTTATTAAGATTTTTTACTTTTAAAATAATTTTTACTATCTGTTATACTCTTAGTTTAGCAAAAAGTGAGATTATATTCAACCTTTCCAATAATTTTTTTATTTTTATTAATTCATCAAAATCATGAGTAAAATCATGAATTTATGTTAGCAACAATGTATTATTCCGGTTATTTAAACTTTAAATCATTTTTCGAGCTCATTTTTTAAATTAAAAAATCTAATTTTACCAGAAATGTATTCCACATGTTTAGAATATACTTATTTTATGAATTTTCGACAATTTTTATTAACCTTACAGTCATTTATATTTCATATAAAAAATCTATGGAAAAACTAATATAAATTATATTAAGTTCAAAAGTTCATGGCAAAATTATCTGAAATTTATAGGGTAGGTATTCCAAACATGATATGGAATACATTTCCGATTAAATCAGATTTAAAAAAACGCGATCAACAAATGATTTAAAGTTGAAAAATAACACATTGAGGGGAAAGGGAAAAACACATTGTCGCTAACATTTACATAAACTCCTATAAAATAAGAATATATAAGATTATTATAAAATGGTTGTATAAAAAATAAGAATATAATTAATTTATGAAATAAAGATGTTATCTTTATTTATTTTGTAATGTTTTATTTGCATTGGTGTATCATATACCTTCTTTGAATTTATAAATAGTGTGAAGTGAACAGTTCTTTTAGTAATTAGCACATTCTTTTTGAGTATAATATATAAATTTAATATTTATTTTATTAGCAATAACTCATTATATTTGTTTTCTCTATTAATTTTGTTATTTGACATAAATAGAATTAAAATGAAGATAAGATTTTATTATATAAATGAATGAAAAAACAGATTCCCACTTTATAGATGTCTTACGCAAATGGACGATTAAAAATATGCTCACTTTCCAAAATAAGCCGTTGTCCAATGTATCAAGTCATTTTATAATCGTAGTTAGGAATTTTATTGGAACACAAAGTTTTGGTCAAATTAAAAAGTTACTCGAGTTATCATGAGCGCAAATTAGACATTGACTAATTACATTAAGTTAAACAATTTTATAAGAAAGTTGTTTCAAATATATGGAAATATTTTGGAATAAATAATATACTGTATAACTGCGAATGCTATATAAACTAGTTTAAAAATATGAATAGTTTCTTATAAAGTAACACCAATAGGTATTGATAAAATTTAGTTGTAAACAATTTCAAATAAGTCTTTGTTTAAAAAAAATTCACGAGCATATTTAATCAGGACATTGGTGCTGGTCATGTTAACTTAAAAAGTAAGTCGTAATATTTAGATCTATAAACATTATATTGATTGATGGTTACCATTTCATATGAAAAGTGGAGAAAACAAGCAAAAATATGTAATCGCATAAATAAAAATAACACTTATATACTTAAATTAACCAGATATTTATGATGGGGAGTTTAAATTAATTAACGATGACTTTAAATAAAACAATTTTCAATTAGCAGAATTTCAAAATGATACCATAAATTATTTATAAATTTTCCAGGGTTGTTTAAGTATCATATTTTATTTAATAATAAAAGTGAGAGATGGAATTTAATATTATGAATGCAATGGTATCACTGGCTAAATGAGTTATTTTTAAAGGTAAGGAGAAATAATGGTGAAATCTGAAAAAGGCGGGGGAAAACGGAAAGGCAAGAGATAAGAAAATAAAGAGAATTATGTTGTGGGGGCTAAGAAGAATTTTAAGAGGAGCGTAGCAATTTCGAAAACATAGGGAAAGAAAATACTATCAAGAGACGAATCCGAGAAAAGGCCAGAATATAATACAGCTGATAGTCAAACAAATAGGTAAAATGGCTGAATATAATTATGCAGACAAGGTTGATAAAGAAGAATTACTGGTTCATTTGCTTCCGGGTTACTAATAAGACAATGAATGAATAAGTTATACCTCAAACAATTAAACATTGTTCACTAACATTTATTCTTGAAATCTATGAAAGTTTAATACCGTTTCAGATGTATTGATTAAAAATTATAAGATAAATTTAAATAACTCATTTGAAATTAGATTTTAAATGACGATTTTAACTAGTGAAGGGAGCTGAATTCACATTCGCGATCATAGAAACTTAATAATCTTCTGTTACAAACAACATAATTACGGGTTATATGGTTTTTTAAAAAATACTAAATAAAACCATAGATATAACAAAAATTTATATTTTAAACAAAGTCTAATTTATTTATTAGAATAATTTTAATAAATTTAATTATAATTATATCAAAAAATGATTCGAAGCCTTTATCCTTTTAAAGTTTGTAGAAAAAAGTAGTTTATTAGCTACTATATAAATGGAAATCTTTTTAAAACTCAAACAAGAAAAAATTTATACTAATATATTTTTTTTACTTATCTTATAATTCATTTTCTATTATTAATTTTTTTTTAAATAATTTCATTTTTATATAACTATAAATATAATTACCGGTTATAGCTGTTACATTTAATATATTTATCTTTAATTAAATTAGGTTATAATAAAAAGTTAAATTTTAAAAAAATAATAAATTTAAATATAATAAGAATAAACTAATTATAAGCCATATTACGTTAATAAGTAGATTATTTAAAATAGACTTAAATTTCACATGACATTTGATATTGAATAAATTTGAGAACTTTTTATTTTTTTAAAATATTTTTTATTTTTTAAATATATTTCATTTTGATATAGTTTACTTTATAAATTTTAATCAGTTTTAAATAAATTAAAAACTAAAAAAATTGTTTATATAATATTAAATATTATATAGAATTTTAATTCTAAGAAAGGTATATATTATAGTTGAATGTCAATCCTAGTATAATGTAATAAAATTTTACGGAAAATGGCTATTTATATATTATATTATTCATAAGGTTATAATCATAATTTACTATATGTTGAGAATTTATAATATAATTATAATAATTAATATAATACAATATATAATAAAAATATAATATTTCTTTTTATTATTATGAGGAATAAATTTATTCCTAATTATAAAAAACTTAGATAATAATAATAATTAAATAGCCATTACTATAGAACATGTTTTTTTTCACCTTCAACTTTTTTATTCATACATAATACTTTAATTAAATACAATAATCACTCTAGATAGGAGTAAATGCTTAGGCAATTGGACCAGCAGTTTTGAGAGAAATCTGTTGACGAAGATGGAATTCTTCGTTGGGGTCGCCTGTATTCTGTTCCCCTTTTTTAC